TCAAAACAGGCATGCAAATAATGAAAAAGACAACATAAGCACCAACCCTGAGTCTATAGTTCCCTGAACTTACAGTCTTTGATCATGTCCACCACATCATTTTTCAATTCTACTTCTGTTGCTTCTGGGTGATCCTCCAGATACTTGTTCTTTGCCTCCAGAGCTGCCCTTTCCATGTCCTGCTGATGTATCCAGTTGGGATCTGTCTGGGCACATCTATGTACGAGGAATAAAATTATTCATTTACCATTGGTCTTTTACAAAGAATGTGCACAATTGTCAGAGTATTGAAGCTGATTGCAAATCAGCTGTATCTCCCAAACCACAATGATTTTTAACACATTACATCCTAACTCGCCCGGGAATCCCCTTACATGCTCCACCCTGACTCGCCCGGAACTGCCCGAGCCGACCTAGCGTCTTTAGAAACGAAGTCTCACCTAGACGAGATTCTGGGGCTGAGATTTTGATTTGCATAGTTATTGCAAAAAGTTTCTTCTTTCGTTTGATACCGAAATGAAATTTTTCGGGCCAGTAGTTTTAGTATTAGAGCGGATGGAAGTTCAATCGCGCTCCCGACACTTCGAAGGTGTCTCTGCTTGTTGAAAAGCGACACAATTGAGTTCGAAAAAGGAAATAATGATGGATTTGAGCAAAAACAAGCATATGACAAATCAGATGACTCAGTTTTTATGAAAACGTAGCAAGAGTTTGGAGCGATTCAGATTGATCAGACATAGAAAATCTAAAATTTAGATCTACGGCCCGACCGCAGGGCTGAGAGTGAGAGTGACGGGTCGGACACTCCAACTGAACTGAAGTTAGAACATTTAAAACAGTTTGCGTATACATAAAGTTATATTTTTCTGAAACTACATATCAGGATTTTTGGAATTTGTTTAGTATTTTTAAAATGTGTTTTTTAAACGCTTGTATTCACGGGAGGTGGGTTCCTTCCCCTTGCTTAGGATCTAACAATGGACTTCCCTTCCAGACTCTTAGGGTGTAATGTGTTAACTCACAGAACTATATATGGTTTGAAAGGTCTCTGAATGTTCTTTGGAAACAATGTGCAAAGAAGTGAAAGAAAAATGGGAATTTGAGACAGCATGGAAATAGGCCCTGTAAGCAGACCTGAGGAAGAAATAATCAGGCCTCACATCAAAGCTCTGAGTAATAATGCAGCTGTACTTCCACACTCAATTCTTTTCAAACAACTAATTTTTACAGCCATGCAAAAAGCAATAAAGTTTTGTTCTAAGGAACAGCCCATGGCAGCCAGTCAGAATACCTGGCGATGAAAGAACTGTTCTTAAATTACCACTATATATTTCATAAAGGGTAGCTTTTGTAGATGAATCTTAGACCTTACATCTTAAAAGCAAAACTGGGAAATACTAAAGCGAACAAAGCAGTTACATTTTGACCTCTACTGTGTGATCAAACTTTGAATTTCTTCATGCACACTAGTACTATACATTTAGGAAACAGGAAATATGCTCACTTTTTGTTGGCATTGAAGTGGTCATAATTTATGTCAGGCTCCTTGCAAGCATAGCAGCTGGTGGCACCACAATGACATGTCATTTTATTGCAACCATTTTCTTTAACAAAGCGTTTCCCACAGCGGTGACATTTCCTCATCACAGCCTCAGATATGTAATTTTCAATAAACGTGCGCATGTTAGTCTCTGCTTTCTTCTCCACTTCATTGCATCTCAGAGGAATGTGATTCGGTTCTTGGCATAGTCTGCAAAAGGGAAAAAAAATGTTGTAGTTTATATCTCTTCACAGACAAAAAACGGGTAAAAAGGAGAATTTATCACTTTAAGTGCATTTTCTACATATTATTATTAGTGATATCAGATCAGTTCAAGGAAAGGTTGGCCTCATGGTGAGAGTAAAAATGAAAGAAGACATCACAAAAAAGCTGACAGAGGCAACACATCTAAATTACACATACGATGGCAACCCCAATGACGACCTTGATGGTGATCAAATTGTTGAGAACGAGACAACGGATTAATCTCAATGTTAGTTTACATCTTCATTTTATGCCTACACTAGATCCCAGACCTGCCACTCTATGAACTAAAAAACCCACAAGATTTCAGAGTAAAAAAAATCAGGATCTGGTGAAAAAATTCGGGATCAACAGTAAATCAATCATAAGGGGCACTGGGGATGGGGGAGGGG